CCCTCGCCCAGCGCCCGAGGATGTGGCGGAGTTCCCGGGGAACGGGGCTTTACCCAAAGTACGTTTTTTTGGCCCACAGTGCCTCGGTGGACGTTTCTGAGGCAGCGTCTGCCTCCCCTCCCCCGCCGGAGCTGCCGGTTTCGGTGTTTTTGGGGAAGTTTCTGCACCGCGGGTCGCCATGGCCGCTCGCCTCGGGAGGGAACGGGACCGGCCCGGGCTGGGTTTGGGGTGAGCTTGTGCCGCAGGGCCCCGCCGCAGCGTTACTTGTGTGTTTTTCACCCTGGCGTGCGGTTTGCCTTAGCCTGACAAACTCCGGTGACATGTACACGGCGGTACCGCCGCCAGCCAGGAAAGCAGAGTCCTGTGTTGTCTGACTTCTCACTGCACCTGGCCTCTGCCTTGCTTGCTTTCCTTAAATAAGACCTGCTAATAGCTTTTGTTTTCTTTTCAGGTCTGGGAGCGTAGCGCAGAACTGGCATGAGATATTTGATTTTGTAAATCAACTGACAGAAAGATTTGTGAGGTGCGTTTTGCTCCTTGTGACATTTATAATAGCGGGATATGTTATAAAAAAAAAAACCCTGTGTTTTTGTAAACTCAGTAATGTTTCACAGGCATGTTAAGAGTTTGGCTTCTAGTGCCAGCACTGCTGGAAATTATTGGAAACTTAGTTTTTCTCATGTTTGAAGCTCAGTGAAAACATGGTAATTTGCATCTTTAAATACTTAATCTCTGAAATTACTCTCACATGTAATTTGGGTTTTTTAAACTTTATTCCTCAGAAGCCACATGACTCATTTCTGATAGTTGTTTTGTTTATTACTCTTAGAGATCTATATAAAGATGGCAGTCTGAATGCAGTGTCTATCTCTGTACGTAAATACACGGTGCAGATCAAAACAAAGGAGGTGTTTTTCAAGCACAGACAAACGCACAGGAAGTCTATGCAATGTTAACAGTATATGTGCCGTACATACATGTAGTCAACTTTAGAGCTGGCTGGCAGCACTGTCTGGCAAGCATCACCACCGCAGAAATGGCTGTTGTAAATACTGGCTAACTGTACTCTGCACAAACAGTTGAGAGGTACTGTGATGCAGCATTTTGCTTTGAAAACCAACCAACCAACCAAAGAAGGAAAGCTTCCCCAAAAAAACACAGGGACACAGGTGTTGTGGTAGTTTTTGCTGTGGAAAATGAAGTGCAGTGGGCAATTATAATCTTGGCTTGCTAATGAAGGGATACAGTTAGGCTTGCATAATTAAATAATGCTTACATCCATCTTGTAACAAGCAAATCTTATATAAACCAAGTGGGTGACAGAAGCTTCTGAAAGATATTTTGTAAACTGTAGAATAAAAAACCAAACAACAGGAGACCTGAGGAGACCAAAGCAGCACTTTTTTTCAGTGAGTGATGAAAAAAAAATACATTTGCCCCCACTGCTTGTACAGTATACGTCTTTCCAGTTCATCACCTTGTACATCCAAATGACCTTCGCAGCAGTTGTGCAGTGGTCTGGCTGCGTTAACCGAGAGAAAGCTACTGAGCTGGCAGGTTACTGCACTGACCTCACACACCGGAGGAGGATCAGCTCTGGTGCAGAGCCTCTCGCTTGGTGTCCGGGTGCTGAGCACTTGCCCCTCACAGCACAGCTGCTGTTGGGCTCTGGTGGACCCTGAGGACAACATCTCCACACGTTTTCCTCTGGGGCTAGGCTGCCTGTGCCCTGCCTCCAGGCCTTGGTACGCTTTCAGAATGGGGCACAGAGTCATTTGAGCTTACCTGTTCTTCAGGTGAAAAGCATAGTTGTGGGAAGGCGGCGAAGAACCAACAGGTAGCAGTTTGCTTCGGTCCTCACCTGAAGAATCAGTTCATGCTGTGTGACCAGTGCATCTGCTCTGTGGTTCGGCTGTCTGTGAGGGTCCGAGAGGCCTGCACCTGGCTGCAGCATTCTGCGATCCCGCTCCACCATCACAGGGCCTGAGCACTGGGAGAGCAGAACAGGATGTCTTGTGAAGAGGGCAGTCTCATGGCCGTCCTAAAGACGTCGTAACTTGGAGGTTGTTACGTACAGTGGGTTGCATCTCAAATAGGGAAGTCTCACGTTACTTAGTAATCCACAGAGACTGGGATTGCAAAGACTTGGTTTTTGTTTGACAACTGTTTGTGACAACTGAGAAGACTGTAACACCATGACTTAGATTGCAGTTTGATTCAGTGCTTCTCAGGTTTTTGTATTTAGAGCCTTAAAGGATAGACTGCAGGAGTGGATCATAAATCCAAGTCTGTGCAAAGGCTTGCCTGGTACTTACACTTCCATCATGTCAGTAATTTAAAAGTTGCATCTTTGACATGGAAACCAAACATTTATAGTTACTTATCTAACACTAGCCTAATAAATTAATGCTGATACACATGTATGGCGAGTTTTAAAATTACTGAATGTACTGAAATTGTCATGAATAAAAATTAAGAGCAGATGAGAAAGATGTTGTCACAACTTACCTTAGAAAAGTTACTGTCTTGGGCTTCCAAAGCATCAGTTCTTAGGAGATGTGTTTTCCACGGGTAGTTGGATATAATTCCTCTTACTCTTGGCTGGAGGAGACAGGCAGACTGATTTTAAAAAAGATGTAATTAATTAATAAAATAAATTAATACAGTATTGCTTTTTGCAATTACCTATCCCAGGATACTTTTATAGAAGTTGATCTAAGTGTCACAACTTCATGTCGCCAATACAAAAACATACTCATTTTGAAATGGTTTGTCATGCTGCTTTTTTAGACATGAATTAGTCAGAGGGCACTGTTTCTTTGATTTTGATCATTTTGTGACCAAAAGGGACAGTTTAACATATACATTGTGCTAGGATTAGACTTTAGAAAAGCAAAACTGACTTCTGAATGTGTCCATGTTTAGTACCCCAGAGCAAGAGCACACCCTGAGTCCATGTCCTTGACTTACTTTACACCAGTGACCATGAAAGTATAAAAGGATGTGTTACCTTTTGTCCTTTGGGAGATCATTTCAGTTAGGTTGCATGAGATCTTAAGTTTCAAGTTTAGCACGTCTTGATCTGGACTGCAGTCAGGCAAGAAGGAATAATAATTGTGCTACTTCATTGTCAGAGCATCTGGGTAAGGAGCAGATGGGCAGAAACTCTTTAATTCCTCTCTTATTCTGGGTTTGTAGTTGCAAGTACGTTCTTTGGAAGCTGGAGGATAAAGATGATACTAATGAACCATGAATAAGTGAATGAAATGCTGTACATCTGTACATTTCTCTTTATTTGTCTAACAGTGCTTTTTTTTTTTTTTTTAAAAGCCCCAAGATGAGATTATCGTTTATCGTGTTTTCCACCCAGGCACACGTCATTATGCCATTAACTGGAGACAGGTTAGTGCACTGCTTGTTTTATTCTCCCGCTCCCTCCTTCCCCCACAAGGGCACTTATTAAATCAGAGGAACAGTAACAGATGCTGAGCAATAAATGATACCTTTAAGTGGTGGCCAGTCAGGAAGCCTCTGTGTAGAGCTGGATTTAATTTTGTGAACGTATCAGTGGACAGCCTAGTAAAAAAGGGAAGAGAAGAACGATGGGGAATAAGTTCTTGATGTGAACTCTACCACCGCTTTGCAGAGCAACTAAAAATACTTTTTTCATCTCTGCATCTTCCTTGGCACAGCAGGAGAAACAACTTTTGCTTTTGTAAAGCGATGTCTGTAGATAAGTCATCAGTATTTCTTCATGTCTAAATAAAGCATACAATGGTAATTAATGTTTCCCGTGATCTCATATAAGGTAGGTATTTCATCTTGTGTTTTTAAGTCATGGCTTTGGAATAGGTTTTAGAGAGTGGAGTTGGTGCCACGTGAAAGGTGTGAGATCTTTCTGGTGCTGACGGGATGTGTGAACGTGCCTGAACTCATCCTCTCAGTCGACGGTTTCGAAGACAACGCAATTCAAGGCTGCTCACTCCAGTTTCTAAATCAAATACTGATTAGCAGCTAGGACAGGTCTAGGATAGGTGGAGGAAACAGAAGGAGAAAACCAGGTAGAGAAGAGATTGTTGTGAAACTACCTACTAAAATCACAGGAATCGGTAAATGAAATAGTGGGATCACCGCTTTCAGCAGAGGACAGTTGCGGTGTTGTCAGAGTCCTTCAGGATCCTTTCGGCCTTGTCAAAAACAGCACGACCTCCTCTCTGTCTCCCTTCTGTCCAGAAGCTAAGCACGCTGAGCAACTTTTTGGAGTTTGAACATGTGGATAAACCATTTAGGAATCATTGTAACCAACTCTGGAAGGGTGGAAGTGAGGTAGTCCTTTCTGCTCCCTTCAGTAGAGTCAATGCGAAAGTGCGATCTGTCATCCTCAGTTTACTGTGCATGTAGTTTGTTTTTTTTTTAAAATAATAATAACAAGTGCAAGACTTACTTGAGTGCATACTTACAAGGGACCTGTCATTGGCAAGAGTCAACTGTGTCATGGTACAGAAATGTGCACCGGTCTGCTAGAAATAGGATGCCCAGAGACACAATTCTTAGCCCCTCCTGTTTTATCATTTACAAAAGCAGTCTGACTTCAGAAAGGCTAAGCTTTCACTTCCCCCCACCCGGACTTGGATACTGGCTCTGCTCTCCGAGAGGAGACACAAGGTTATAAGCCATTTTTCCAGATGGCTTGAGAGAGGTCAGGAGAGGACACTTCAGCTGGTTCTGAGCACTGCTGAGCTCAATGAGATCCTTTCTCTCCGTTTCAATAGGCCCTTAATTCCTGTCACTGGCTTGTGCCTTATCGGTTGCGGAGAGGCGGCACTGATAGCGTACAGACCACTGAATGCTTGGGCAAAACCCAGTCGCGCAAACACAGGCGCCTTGTTCGCTGCGTGTCTGCAGCACACTTGAAGGCACGGAAGGAGCCAGACTTTTCTTGGAAACCTAGTTTAGAACATAGAGAGAACCCTGTTTAGTTCAAATGAGTTCCTCTGCAGGACTCTTCTTCAGCGCAAGGTTTGCTAATGCTTCTGTGAATGTGGTAGGGGAGAGGAAATGACTGCTCTTATTGCCTAGGAGGAATTATAATGAGAACGATGAAGGAGACGGTAGTAACTGTGACCACACGCACATAGGTAAGAACAGATAGCTACAGTTGGAACAGCTGTCCTTTTAAATATTAAAGGAGACATTCCAAGTCAGAAAATGACTTGGAGTATCTAACTGCTATTGCTGCAAACAGAAGATGAGGATGCTAAGTCCGTTATGGTTTTGGGGATGGGTGTGTACTTACGTGTGATTATGGGATATTACAGCCCTGTTTCTTCTATGTGCATTTTGGACTTGCAGCGATGTTCTTCCCCTCACTTACTCATTCGCAAATGTCGGGAAACCACAGTTCATTCCCAGCAGTTGGATCAAACTAGGAAAGTCTCTTCTGTTTTGAACGCCTTAGGCTTCCAATTGTTTGTGCAAAGTTCTTTCTGGTTTTTACTGCATAATAGAGCTGTGGGTATAAAGAAACCCACACCATAGCACTGAGGCCACCAGATTACCAAATATTTTGTGACTCTGAGCAGCGCGATGTGAACAAGTCTGGAAACGGCAGTCACTGTTAACCACAGTACACACGATGCTATAATAAATCCACAGAATAAAAAGTAACACCCAGATGGGAAAGACTTCTCACAATGGTTGTGTCCCATTTTAGAGACACACGTTTACCCTGTGTAGTTGGAAGCAATATGCTAAGTGGCAAATAAAAAACTGTGCATTCACGTTTGGTGCTCAGTTATGCTACTGGTTTTGAAAAGTGAGTCGTTTAGAAAAGTGGGTACACTTAGGAATGTCATCCAGATGGCACAAGGTCTTCTGCGTTCCAGCAGAATTTCTGCTTTCTGTAAACCTGCTTCAGCAGCGTTTGGTCAGCATCTGTGGTCAGGGCTGGCCCTGATGACTCTGCCGAGGTGAAACTCTTGTTGGAGCTAAGGAAAGATTATATTAATGAAGACTGAAAAATAGAACACTTCAGCACCTGGTACGTGACCAACTGTACCCTACCGTGCTTGTCTGTAGTCTAGTGGAGCTCACCGACTGTTCTTTTAATGCACAGGGTCACCTAATCTAGCAAGATATTTATGCATGTTCAGACTCTGCCGTGTGAGCAAACCCTATGCTTTGGTTCAAGAAGCTTGCCAAAATAGAGCCATCTGCAGAGAGCACGTTCTACTGAGTGTATCAAGTACAGGGAAGTCAGCCACTTAGGTTTTTTCCATCTGGAGCCCGTGCAGGAGGCCTAAAGTTTGAAGCAGAAAGATTACTATAGTTGTGCCTAGCCCTCTTTAGTACTTGAGAGGTGCAGAAAATGGGAACCTCCTGCAAATTATGCATCTGAGGAGGCTGATGTGCAGGGTTTACTTTCACCAGTGCATCAGCTCTGTTTGTTAGGGATGTAACCATCCTGTTTTCTTAAACAACACTTCCCCGTCCCTGCTTTGTTTCACTAACAAGTTTGTGTTTTCCTGTTACTAAACTTCCTTCTTAGGAGCAAAACCAAAATACCTGGTTTGTTTGGGGTTTTTTTTGTTGTTGTTAGGAATGAAGTGTGTTTCCTTGCAGGCACACAGCCTCATTCCTGGACACTGGGAATCACAGTTTCCCTGCCAGTGCTCAAAATGGTTCAAGATTGCAGCACTTCAGTAGAGAGAATGAAACATGGAACAGATGTGTATACATCTTATATACAAGATACCACCCCTCATCCAGAAGAGCTAAAACCACCACTACTTAAAATCACATAGGTATTAATAGAGACTCAGCACGTTGTACAGGGCAACCCCTGTGCCCAACTAAATCAGCACGACCCGAGACCTGCGTGACCATTTCAGCTGTTCTCACCTCCGCAGCACTACTGTACCGGTTTTTTCCACACAAAAGTTTCCGTGCTTCAGAACCGGTCTGTGGCATTGTCGTTGGTCCTCCCAGTTGGGGTACGACCTACAGCCCGCTGCAGCATAAGCAAGTATTTATTGCCTGTCTTCACTGCCACTTCAGTGCTGGCTGTGGCCCTGTCTGCACAAGAAAGCAAGACCTCGCGGTAACAACATCTGCAGTCTGACCGCCTGGCTGCTGACAACACTGTTCTTAGCATGGGGTCAATTAAAGTTACTTACAGCAAGAGATAATACTAAGGAGTGATGAAAACAGTACCTGTTGAGTTGCCCAAGTAAAAGCTTCCTGCAACAGAGCTTGTGCAGAGAGAAACTTCTCCTGTAAACCTCTGGTGGTGGTTGCTTTGACATAACTCCAACTCTGAAAGGCAAATATTTACATTTAGAGCTGAACTGTGAAGCAAGCTCAGGTGGGGAGCGTTTGCTACATTTTAGTTTACATTAAATGGTTTTCTTCAGTTGTTTGCAAAACTGGGCTGCTTTGTAATCTCTCTTTAACTAAATGCTCGGTTTCCAAATATGAACATGGTTCTGCATTGCCCAGTCTTGTGGAGGCAGCGGCAGTACACGACAAGCTCGGTGTGGGCTGTGGCCCACGCAGGGAGCTGCATCCGTAGGTGGCCCCACGTGCCTGTCAGCAGAGCTGGCACAGCTTCCCTCGCCAGCCCTGTGCAGCCCGGGTGTCCAGTACCAGTGCAAGGTCCTGGTGTCCCAAATACAGCACGGCAGAGTTCCCAGAGAGGCAAGACCAGCGGGCACTGCTGAAGCTACAGCCAGACCCTCTCCTGACCTTGGCCAGGCTGGGACTTCACTGCAACCCTGCTCATGGAGCAGATAAAAACAACTCGCAGATCAGAACCACGGAGAGCTTGTAACTGTGGCTGTGTTTCCTGGCTGCTGCTGCTGGGAGCATTATCTGAAGTAGTTACAAAGCTTAAAAGAGAACAGACAGCATGGCTATTAAAAATTAGATGTGTCTTTTCTCAAAAACAGAGGTGTGATGTGGCGCATATGCTGAATGAAGAAAATATATTAAATTTGTAGTCATTCAGCCCAAACACAGACAGGCTGCAAATCGCTGATTTGTTTTGCTTTTTGCACCTCCCTCCCTTGTCTGACTTAAACCACGACGGCAGTGACACTTCAGCCTTTATCACTGTTACTGAATTGTACCACAGTTGCATCCAGACACCCAGGCTGAAGTCCTGGTTTCGTTATTTCAGTACAGATGAGTTTTAAACCCAGACCTTTTCTGTAGGTTTTGGGGATGACAGTATCACAGAAACTAGAGAAAGCAG